AACTAGACCTTTACCTCGAAATAACGCCCATGCGCGTACTCAAAATAACGCACATCTCCTCGAAATAACGCATAGGTGCGCGTTATTTCGCGTAAAACGGTATATAATCAGCGATGACTTCACCGATTATAGTTGACCCAATCGATTCAGATCACTACACCTAATACATAAGGCTCCAGGCCTATAAAACATTGCCGTTTTTATTGCAGTTTTTAAATAAAGTAAAAAATACAATAGAAAATATTAAAAAGTCAGTCTATATACATAAGTGATTGGCTATTTACTGATCAATTATTTTTTTGCTCCATTCATCACAATTTACTTTGATTTTTATGAATAAACAACTTAAATATCGATTGAGTAGTTGTAAGAAGAATCATAAAAATGGTTGTACATAGTGTAAAGAATGGAATAATGCTATAGGACACAATTAATTTATAATATAAACTCTATTAAATATTGATAAAAATAATTAATTAATTAATATATAAGTGTGATTGACAACTAAACAAATAAACCATTAACAATAAAAACTTTACCTGAATAACTAGCTGTGGAATATTCTTAATAAAAATATCAGCAAAAGCCCTATATTTAACCAGAAGATCAAATTGCTCATTAAATATTTCGTGTAATTTGACGTCGTTTAGAAGCAGTAAAGTTTCACCATTATATAATGATAAAAGAATAGTCAAAAAATTCATAAAGTTAAGTTGTTTGATTCCTCCTCTACACAAAATATAAGTAAACATAACGACATTCAATAATAATGAAATCACTAATATAAGTCCACTGTTTAAAAGCAGAAAAAAAAGTTAATTAAATTGTTCAATCCATTTAATTTTCAATAATGACTTTGATAAAACACCTTGGTAAGCTTAAAAACGGGTAACCTTTAGCATCAGAAAAAGCAAATATACTTGAAAAACTTGTATGAGTGGCAGTAAATACTCCACCAGAGACTATATTGAGTGTTTGTTTAAAATCTTCAGATTTAGACTAACAAAAATATTTTTATAGAAAAGATTTTAATATTTATAATATTAATAAAGTCATTTATAAAATAATTAAAGTCAATTTTACCGAAAATTGAGAAAAAATATAAAGCATAAGGTTCACTCCACCAGCAGCGAAAAAAGGAATAATTTTGTCTTTATAATCGCCTATCAGATCACCTTTCGGTCTAAAGCCATAAGTTTCATCTAAATCATTTGTTAAACCACTGGAGAAAGTAGTAATACGCTTATATCTGATCATATTATTTAAATCTGATATTATTCCCGGAACAGTAGTGTGATTATCTATTTTTGGATTTGTTTTACCTACGCGAATAGCAAATTGAGCATTTTCTTTAGAATTAATAGAAATATATTGATAGTTATTATCTGTAGATAAAAGTTCACTTCGGACTGGTAATTTTTTAGAAACCTCTTGCAATAGAGCTTTAAAGTATTCTGTTTTATTAGCATCAGAAAGTTGTTTAAAATTTTCTGTTGCAACCATAGTAAGACGAGCCAAACAAAAAGCAGCTTCCTCTATAAAAAGAATAAGAATTTAATGCTTGGAAATTTCAAAACTGTGAGGAATTTTACATTAATTAATTACCTGAGGGATGCGGTTTATTTACTAAATTATATACAAAAGATTAATTAAAATAGATGAAAACAATATAAAATAGAATAAAATAAAATAATAAATAAAAATATTACTCGATCGATATTTCACAATCCCTTCATCAATTCCTTTTAAAGGTTCAGAGAACAATCCAACTCTGACAAAATCAGAATCCATCTGTACGTAATAATTTTCACCGTATTG